CCTGCTGGCCTCCACGCCCCACCTCAGCCTGAGTGTGAACACCATCCAGCCTAAGGTTTTCCTTGGCCCACCTACCCAGGAGAAATTGCTGTCACTATGGGAAGTCGAGCTGCAGCCCCAGAAGTCAAGCCCGCAAAGACCAAGTAACCCAGCTCCCACGATTCCACATGTAACTGGCAGAGGGGTGCAAACTTCAGCCACTCCAAAACATGTCTTTTGTGGGAAAGCTTGATCTCAGGGAGAGGCTCTGAAGGTTGGGGGAGCTGCTTTGATGTCTTTGTCTAGCCTTCTCTGTCAGGGTCTGTTCTGGCAAGGCCTGCTCCCGTGGCTTTTCCTTGAGAAGCAGAAGTACCGAAGCAGGACGTGTCCCAGGCCTGCTGCTTGGAGAGTCTGCTGCTTTTGATTCTGCTGCTTGCTGGGGTGGAGAAGTTGCCGGGTGCACTTGCTGCTTGTTCACAGGGGTAGCCCTTGACCCCCTCCCTGAACAAGAGAGTAATTATGCTGTGATGGATGAGACAGTAAGTTTCCTCATACAAGCTGTATAAAACCCAGCTCTGGGGGGCTCAGCCTTTTGGGACCAATCTCACTGAGCCCACTGGTGTGACTATTAAATCTCTCTCTCTAGCTCTCTGAGCGCCATCTAATTTCTATGGGAAATTGCCGTGACAGTACCTCTATTCCCCAGTAAATGTCTACACCGAATTTCTCCCTCAACCTCCTTCGTCTTAGCTAAGCTATTTAAGATGGCTTCTAAAGTCCCATGATGCTAGTCACTCAGCCACACAGGATCTTTCCCAGACACAGTTATCATCATTATTACTCAAGTTACTACCAACTTCTATGTTAAATCTTCTCTTATCAGTGTGTTCAATGATCTGCCGGCCTAGAAAAACCCAGAAGGGTTGAGGATGATTTCCTCTGTACCCTGACACTGGGTACAGGGCAAGGGGCTGGCTCGTGGGGGTCAATGGCTGTAATAATCCCCCGGCTGAGCATGGGACAGTCCTTGTGTCCGTCCACCTTTGTGGCAGACACTGTGGTCACTCACACAGGCCTCTCTGCCCCAGCGAGGCCCACTCTGGGACCTGCCAGGATCCGGAGCCTTGGAGACAGCCCTGGGACTGGGCATTGCTAACCACAATTAGCAATGACGTGGGAGGATGCCCTTCTCTAGTTCCCAATAAAGGGGCACAAGCCAAGATCCCGGCCCTGAAAAAGCCCCAAGAGGAGTAAAATCCTCCCTGAAGAAGCAGCATTTGGGAAACTGCTATCTCCACATAAAAGAGTTACTTCAAAGAATGTCAACACAGAGGTTTACGGCATGACTAAAACATCCAGCTCCCCGAAGATAAGACGCTAAGTAGGTCTGGTAAATTTTAATGGCAGTTTGAATGGGCCTCTTTGTTTTTCTCAAACCACGGACTGTATCAGGTAGATACTTAACCACATCCGCCCTGATGTTCTCGGTGAAAATCCCTGACAATATGAAGTGTTTTCTTTGTAAACTATGTGTCATCCTTGAGAAGCTCCTTTCCCGGAGCTATCTGGAAACTCTTCCTGGGATGAACTTTCAGTCCTGATTCTGTCATTAACTCATTTTAACTTGCCTGAGTTAATTGTCACCACCAGTTCCGAACCCACACAGCCAGGAGCAACCTCCCCGCTCTCCCTGCCCATCGGGGTCCCCTCAGATCATTCACTGGCCAGTGGAGTGATGGGCAGGACAGAGGTCCCCTCTGCAGGGCCCCAGCCCACATGAAGGAGACGGCCTCCCTGCCCCTTAAAAAGCAGTGACCTCAACACCTGTGCAAGAATTATCCTCCCAAAACTGTCATTTTCGCTCTTATCTTCAAGGATGGGAATGTCTTCCTCCTGAAAAATTATTTTTTAAAATAATAGTTTATTTTTACATCATTTTGTATGTTTTTCCACTCAGTTGCAATCCCCTTGGGCTTCCCATCACCAAATCACCCTGTGCCATCACCCCAGTCCAGTGCCTTTCCCTCCCCCCACTGTTTTTGATCCCGTTCCCCACTCCACCGTCACAAAATGTCTCTGGGATATGGCTGTTCATTATTATTCTTATTATTTCCTCTCCTGGTCTGTTATACCCTGCTATGAGAGAAACCATCAGCATTTTACCTTTTCTTTCTGGCTTATTTCACTAAGCATGATCTTTTCCAGCTCCATCCAAGTTGCTGCAAAAGGCATGAGTTTATTTTTTTTTTGGTTGCTGAGTAATATTCCATTGTGTATATGGACATCTTTTTAATCCAGTCATCCACTTTTGGGCATTTGGGCTGCTTCCATGTCTTTCCAATTGTAAATAAAGCAGCAATAAACATGGGGGTGCAGGTATCTTTTTCAATCAGTGTTTTTGTGTCTTTTGGGTGGATCTCTAGGAGTGGGATTGCTGGGTCATAGGGAAGCTCCATGTTTAGCTGTGTGAGGAACCTGTGAACAGTTTTGAAAAATTACTGTAAAGAAAGACTATGACAGGATGAATCTGGCTCGGGGTGGCTTCACCCCTCCAGCAGCTCCCCCACAGAACAGCTGGGCTTCCTCAGACAAGTCCTGTAACTGGGTTTTGGACTCTGTCCTCCCCTGCAGGCCTTCCCGGCACTGGTGCTGGTGATAACCCTCTAGATAAAGGGAAGACAGAGATTCTTTTCAACCTAATCAGGAACCAGAATTCCACAAGGAGACTGACCTGGTGATGTCAGACGCAGATTATCTGGTAGATACTCTGCCTGTGGAATATAGCACCCCGCCCCTGTCCCCCAGACTGGAGGAATGGAGGGGGGCCTGGGGAACTGGGAGAGAAGGGGCTTGGGGGATGGGGCAGGTGGGGAAAGGAGGCAGAGGGCTTCTCAAGACCAAGAGGCCAGGGCACAGCTCTGTTTTCCAGAAAGTGATGCTTCTTCCAGGTCGGAGGAAGGAAACGTGAGGGGCAAGATTACTACTCATGCCCATGTCTGTTTCCAGCTTCTCTCTGGTGCTAATTGAACCCCTCCTTTCTAGCAGGCATGGATAGTCCAGTGCAAAAGACTGACCGCCCGGCTCAGCCAGGTGCGGCCCCACCACCCACTCCAGCCAATGCAGCTAGTGGCAATGAAGTCCGTGCCTTCAGGCCATTCATGTCAAAGGGCAGCGTACACCATGCTGCCTCTTGCCTTCCTGTTGACCGGAAGGTGGACACCTGAGTCATCCTGGACAGACAGACAAACACCAGCAAAGGCAGAGCGACAAGACAGGCTCCCAGCCCATGACAGCCACATGTCCGCCCACGGCTGGCGTCTGGTCCTACATGAGAGAAATACACTGCAGTCTTCTTGGGGCCCTATTTCCTGGGGGTTCTGTGTAACTTTAAACTGTGTATTCAATCCTAAAAATATTTGGGGGCCCGCCCTCGTGGCACAATGGGTTGGGCCACAGCACTCAAGCCAGCTACTTCAGTGCGGGTTCAAGCCCCACCCCCCAGCTGACCCACATGGTGCAGCCGATCTCCCCTGTCTCCCCTCTGCTCCCCTCAGCAGTGTACTTCATCGATCTGCCTGTTCCGCTCCCCACTCTGTCTCTGGTGAAGCCTCTCACCGCCCCCGCACCTCTGGCTTGTACCCCAGCTCTGGATGCATAAATAAATAAATCTTTTTTAAATTTAAAATGTTTGGAGCTAAAGGGACCTGTCATCCGTTTAGGGAGAACAGAACCAAACTCTTCTGGGTCACTTCCGTGCTCCATTGTCAACAAAATTCAGATGCCTCACTCACAAACCAAACAAAAATCCTGTCCCACTAGAGCAGTATTTAGTCTGACTGCACCGCGGCTTTATGGCCACTGGCCAGACTGTGTCTCTGGTTTGAGAGGGGAGAGGAAGCACAAGACACTCCTGCTCGCCGGTGGAGACTTTTCCCTGAGGCCCACGAGAGGTCAGGATGCGCTCTGGGAGACCTGCAGGTCAGCGTGAGAGATGGCCAGCTCTCGGTGAAGCAAGAGGGCAGGGCGACAGGACCAAAGGCCCCAAACAGAGCTCTCATTCTACTCCGGGTCCTCATAGCCACACCTCCTCTCGGGGGGTGGCGTGGGGGCTCAAATGAAAATCTGTAATAAAATAAAGGGGCTACATTTTAAATACATATCTGATTGTGTGTGAAGATTCCTGGGACCTCCGCTGGTGGGAAATTCTGGGGAAGATTTTTGTAGTGGGGAGAAATATTGGGGTGAGGCCAGAGATGCAGGCTTGAAGGAATTCACCAGAGTCAGACTGGAGAGCAGAAAAAGCAGATTTATTGAAATACGCTGCTGAGGGGAGCAGCGGCTTTCTAATTTGGGGTGCCACTTTCGCCAGTCACCTGCATGGATGTCTGGCCAGGCTCGGGCCTCTGGCCTCTGGCCTCTGGCCTCTGGCCTCTGCTCCTACATTCCCGGAGCTGGGCTGGTTTTTCTGGTCCTGGTGGTCTGTCTGAGGCTCGGTTATCCTTTCCCTTATCTAGCCAAGCGTCCCTCACTTGCTTTCTGTGCAAGGAGTGGGCACTTCGTCTTCAGCCTTATTAAAGGGTACCCCGATACTTTCTGCCATCCTTCTCTGAGTTTCCTGATTTGTGACCTGGCTCCTGGTGAGTGTTTCCTAAGCAGGAGGGGAAAATAACTAACAAGGATGGCTACTTAAAACAACAACAGTATCAGGGAGTACTCCTGTGTCCCCGTCTTCTGGATGCTTACATGTTCCTCAGGGAGGAATTTCACAAACCAAGGAGAAAACAAAACAAGGAAAGTTTTGGGGGTTTTCTTGAAACAAAGCAAGTTTTCACTTGTTGTTAAGAGGAAAACATTAGGTGCTCTGCCCCAAACTGAATTATTTGGTAGATGTAGGAATCCGGTCTGAGAGCACTTCCTTGGGTAGCCCTGCCAAGGCCCCCAGCGGGAGCAGCCCCTCCCTCTCGCAGGGATAAATAAGCCCTAGCACCCAGGCATCCGGCACTCCCACTCAAGGCCACGCTTCTGCTCACACACAGCTCTCCAGCCAGGTAATCAGAGGCTTCCTCCAGGAGCGCCTGGCCTCCAGCACCGTCTCCAGGCGTCCCAGGTAATCTGGCCCTTCCCTCCTCCAGGCGTCCCAGGTAATCTGGCCCTTCCTTCCTCCAGGCCTCCCAGGTAATCTGGCCCTTCCTTCTTCCAGGCGTCCCTGGTAATCAGGCGCTTCCTCCAGGTCTGCCTTACACAGAGTCTGGCTTCTGCTCAGGCCTCTGGAAGGGGCAGTGGGCGGGCCCTGGAGAGGGCTGCCCAGCGAGGGCTCCAGGACAGTTGGGGTGCCAGGTCTGGATGCCCAGCTCTCTGGACATCCCGGGATCTGAGCTTTTACACCCGGGGGTGCGGGGTGGGTGTTTGGCCTCATTTCTCCCTGACGCTGGGTCCCGATTCCCGGCTAGCCCCATTCTGCCATGCCTGGAACCCCTTCTCTCAGGACAGGAAGTCCTCCCCCCTCCCTGGGCTGTGTGTCCCTGGTCTGACCCCGCGGGGCACCCAGAGGGACAGAACTCAGGATTAGGGTGCGGGCTGCCTGGGGCACCCCCAGGGAGGGGTTGGGGGGGGCTGACAAGCACCACCAAACCCCCAGGACCTGAGCCGGGCGCAGCCTGCCTGCCAGTTTGTCCAAAATTATTTCTCCAGAAATAATTTTTTTTGGGAAAACAATGTGCAACTGCTTTCCCAAGAAATAGTTGCGTCAGCCTAAAACTAAACAAGTGGTGGAGCCCCTGAGAGGCCTCAGCCCCTGGGCTTTTCCATGACCTTTGAAGAAATGAACTCTCTCCCCTTCCCAGGTCCGTGCCTACCCCCCTCCTCCCCTCCCCCCCC